GGAATTCTGGGAGTTGAAGTCCACCCATCTTAAAGTTGCTGAGGTTAAGTAACCCTGCTTTAAACAACAACAACAAAATAAAAATATTCCAGAGATACCTTTCAAGGGGCCTCCTTTTTACAAAAGGTATCTGGCACATAGCCTCATGAGCCAGAAAATTCTGACTGCTTAGATCTTTGTATGAAAACAGAAGGGTAAAAGCTTTTGATACATCTGCCAAATTTTAAAGGGATATTATTTTGCTTGCGACATTATCCTTTTCATAATAGCCATTTTTAATACCATACCATGATACATGTTTTTAAATCCAGGACAAGATCGCATTATCCTGCCATATCCATGTATAGATGCCAACAGGGCTGGGAGTTGGAGATTACGTCCACATTGGCAGCAGGACAGCATCTCCTGCTTCTACATAACACACCCAGCCCTGTTTTCTAATACTTCAGTGCTACTCCATTCTCACCTCACTTTCAGCATCTGCTGCCTAAATGATTGCCTTGCTTAAAAATAGGATCTGCCTGGAGCTTTGAAAGCAAACATCTTCTGAACCACAGATTTATAAGACACCACTTGCAAAGTGAGATGCTTTGATTTTAACAGCTAAGCAGAGAATAAATGTGAAAATTTGTTTCTGCATAGAAGAATTCTCAGGGGGTCACACTTCATTAAGAGACTCCGCAACTAAATAAAAATGTGATTGCCTGTTGAACAGGGATATTACAAAACATATTGATTCCAAGACAAGTTTGTATATTTTCTTATTAGCACCAATTGAGACATCGACATACAGTTACTTAAACTATACAGTAGTTGAGCTGATGAAAGTGTATTATTAATCTATAGGCTGTCCATAGACCTTTCTCTGCAGTATTATACTTTTTGTTTTCTATCCAAAAATAGTGGCCTTTTATTATGCAAGTACACTATACCTGGGACACATTTGAATGCCACAAGATGATGATGTTTTCAAGTTGACCCAGTATATTTGGGACAATTATTTGAACAGATCAGTACTGGTAACAGTATACCTAAGGCTTACTCTTTCCATTATGAATCTTGCAAAAAGTAACAGTGAAAACCCAATCATCTGCAAATAGACCATGAAGACCTGGGTCTTCCCCCAGGCATTGAGGCCAGGATATTAGTTATGGGAGCTCAAGCACAGGCCCATGCGATTCGTGACTGTGGAGATTTAATTGGACCTCGACTTGTTTTGTTTTCATTTGGTTTTAACGGAAGGCTTTGTTTTTCTTTTGCTTGCCACCCAGAGTTTCTTGGGAGAGATGGATGGCCATATAAATTGGATTATTACATAAATAAATAATAAATAGTTAATGAAAGGGACTGTATAAATGACAACTTCCTACATGTTTGCAATTTTATTGGAACAAGTTTTTCAACATGCTTTCCTGTCACGAATCAGAATTTCAGTTTTGTTTTAAAAAAGTGACAAGGCCTAGAGTTCCCAACAGCAAGGATAAATAAAGTGCACCACATGGGCCAGACATACAGAATAAACTCTTCTCAAATATGGATACATATTATAAGAGACCCAAAGTTCCACTGCAGTCTGATCCAAAGTGAGTGACATTCAAATTAAGACTCAGATATATCAATATGATAATACTTCATTTGAATATGAGGGAACTGAAATTGCCCCTGGGTAGGGGAGGGAATAGTTGTTCTTATTATATAAAATGTATGTGTCTTGGTTTTATTCCAGGAAAACAGTATTTTATTCAACAGAGCAAGGAATACATCTTTTCTTTGCATGGATGGTTGAAATAGTTTTCTGAATACGTATAACAAGAGCATTTGAAAAAGGTCTATGTAGTATATGCCAGAGTTTTTGTGCTCCACAAAATAATAAAGATTTTTTTAAAATCTCCCAGTTCTGACAATAGGTAGCAAAACATACTACCCACTGAATCCCAAATAGAAAAGAACATTCATTTTTTAACCAGGCCGGCCTGCAGTTCTGCCTCCAAGGCCATCTTGTCAAAGGTGCGCATGTTCATCTCTTCCCGGACTCTTTCCCGCACATGGAATGATGCTCGAGCCACAGACCTTGCATTTTCCAAGACACTTTTTTTCTCCTTACAAATCTGTTCACTTCGCTCCAGCTTTTTCTCAATAGACAACAGGATCTCCCTCCGGCGGATATCTTCACACTCCTCGACTTTTCTCTTGTTTACTTTCTGCACCTTCTCCTTCTCCAGACGGCTCTGCACCACCTTACGGGCTTTCTGCTGGACAACTTCCTCGGCCACCTGAGCAGCATGTTGGAGCTTCCTCTCTGAAGCTTGGGCTAAGGCCCTTAAGTGCTCCTTCTGTTCCCGTTCTTTGCGCTCTGCTGCCAGCTTGGCCCTCTGGATCTGCATGTCTTCCCGCTTGCCTCTCTCTCTCAGTTCCTGGTTCCTCTTCTCAATGACCTGCTGATAGTTCTCTTGAGCCTTGCTCAGGTTCCCTTCCATGGATGCCCTCAGCACTGCCTTCCCTTCGGCCTCCTGCCTAGCCAGTCCCTTGAGAATGGCCTCGTGTTTTTGTTTCTCAGTTTGATTGAGCAGCTTCTTCTCTCTCTGCAGAAGCTGTTCCTTCATAAGCTTCTTCTGAGCAGCCAAGGTAAGCTTCTCTTGCAGTAGCTGCACCTCTCGCTCCCTGGCTTCTTTCTTGCCTTCTTCCTGAGCCTTCAGGTTGTGCTCTTGGTGGCGCTTCCTCTTCTTGTCCTCCAGAGCAGCCTTCTCCAGCCTCTCCCTCTTCATTCGCTCCTGCTTCTCCAGGTGCTCCCGCCACTTCTCATCCTCCATCAAGCTCTGCCTTTGCCTCATCTGGACAGCCTCCTCCCGTGTGTGGGACAGCCTGCCGCGTCGCTTCTCCAGCCGAGATTCCCACATCCTGTGGCCCTGCAGCAAAGCCCGCTGCTTTTCCCGCTCCTCCTGCTCCCTCCTCTGCTCTGCCAGCCTCCTCTGCACATCCCACTGGAGGTGGGCACTGTACCGCTGCTCCTTCCACAGGCTGTCTTCTTGGTGCTTCGCTATCATCAGGGCCGCAATCTTACGGTCTCTCTCAGACACCTCCTTGAAGCCTTTCTTCTGCTTCACTTCCTTGACAATCCTGTCCACTTTCTTGGTGGTCTGTGGGGAGTGGCTCAGGTCACTCAAGCTGAAACTCCGACCCACCAGGGAGGTCATGGTGGCCACGGTCTTAGTCCTAGGCAGCCCCTGGGGCCATTTGTCCCTGGCACTGTCTCCACTGTAGGAAGAAGAGGCCCCTGAGTCGGAGGAGGTCTTGGTGGAGAAGCCCTCTCTCCTCTTTTGCAGGGAATCCAGGGAGTGGCTCTTCTTGGTCTTGGGGCCACTGAGGGGGGGAGGAGGGGAGGGCCCCGCGGCCCTTGGCTTGCCCGCAGGAGGACAGCTCCCATTGGCCAGGGTGCTTCTGAAGGCCGTCCTGGAGGCTGGGGAGGAAGGCAGGCTGCCGGTCGCGACAGGCGCGAAGAGCCTTCGCTTCTCCTCCCGGATTATCCGCTCCCTCTCTTCGTGGCACTGCTGCAGCTTCCTCTGCCGATCCGTCTCGTAGGCCTCATAGAGGCCGGCTGCCACGCGCATAGACCTGCCGGGGGCCTCCTTGACCAGCTCGCTGAGCGGCCGGGGCAGCAGCTCCACCGGCTTGACGGCGCACCGAGCGCAGGCTTCGAGGGAGCGGGGGCTGGTGAGCACATAGCGGCTGCCCTCGGCTTCTGGGCAGTCGAAGTTGTACAGATCCAGGTGCAGCATCGGCGACTGCTCGCGAGCTTTCTCCGGGTCTCCGACTGGAGGAGGCGCCGCTGCTGGAGGGGGCACGGGCGGCTGAACTGCAGCCTCGGTCGTCGCGGAGGTAGCGGCTGCCGCAGCCTCTTCTTCCCCAGCGGCACCCTCGGGAGCGGGGCATGTTCCCCTGCCAGGATCCGCCGCCGGATCCACCATGCCTGGCTCCCTCCAGAATCTGCAACAGAAGTAGACAATTACAGAGGACAGGCAGAAGAATCAGGTGGATTTTATTGAAAAAACACCCTCGCTAAGATCCGCCGTCGCCCCTGCCTCTCCATGCGCGCAAAAGGAAGCCAGGTCTTCCTGGGTGGGTGCTGCAGCGGTGGCGAAAAGTGGAAGCTCCTAGTAACTCCTAAGGGGCGCCAAGCAGCACTAGGAGAGGCTGAGCAGGTTGCAAATCTCAGCCTCCCCCTCCCCATCCCTTGCCATTCACTGTCCCGGGCGGCATGATTGGTTGCGTCGGGAGTTCTAAGCCCTCCTCCCCTATCATGCACACGCGAGTCGGGGGCGGGGAAAGAACCCCACCTTTCTTTTCTCTCTCACCCCCCCCCCCCTCTTTTTTTTTTCCGGCTTTTAAGTTTTTGCAAGGGGAGGTGGGGGGGGGGGGGGGGGGGGGAAA